ACAGTTGTGAAAACTACTGGAGGTTTAAAAGGATATAATCTACTTAAATATTTCTTTTGATCTTCATTTAAACATCCTTCATTAAGACTATTATAAATATAAAGTCTCATTCCATCATAATAAGTGCAAATCCAATGACCTTTCTTGATAGGTCCACTAAAAAGTATTTGAATATGCTTTTTACCTTTTTCAATCGGACTAATAAATTCAAGCGTATAAAAATACAAAGTGCTTTGCATGCTAAAAGCAGAATTTGATTCCCTTCTCAATAATTTTTCGAATTCATCAATATGAGTATCATTTAACATTCCTCCTTCAGTAAGTATAATATTAAAATCTGTAACACTTAAATTAACAGTTCCTTCTTTGTTCGACATGATTTCTTTCAATTTATTGAAAAGATATCGCTTCTAAAAAATAGTTTTTCATAAAATTAATTAATTCAGAACACATGTAAATAATGTTACTATTGTCACATTTAACAGTAACTGGAATTTTTATCTTATCCTTTCTTATTAAAGATTATTAAGAATGTAAAGAATGTATCTTCATCTATTAATATTATTAATATTATTAAATATAAGTATATTTTTGGTAAATTTTTCTGTTTTGTATCTGTTTTGTATCTGTTAATCTAGTATCTGTTAATAGAGTATCTGTTAATCTAGTACCTCTTGACTAAATCTCTGTTTATCAAGTATCTGGTATCTCGTAATCACATGTTATTTTTAGTACATTTTTAATATTCATAAAGTTTTTTCCAAAATAATAACTAACTACCAAAATGTTAGAAAACAAAATGTTAAAAAATCAATAATTAAGATTTAAAAAAACAAATATTAATCAATATTAAATAATAATTATTACCACTATAATATAATTATGTACAAACATCAGAATTTAAAAAATCAATATTCTACATTTAGAAATCAAAATAACAGGCAAATGTCCTTTATTCCTTTAAATTAATAAATCAAATAATTCACACATTATATTTACAAACTCTTCCTAATAAATATATATACAAATAATATTAACAAAAAATTTAATTTGTATTTACATGTATTTTAATTTTAATACTTACGTACGTAACGTATGCAATGTACTTTAACTTTTTTCAAATGTACAAAAAAACAAAACCACAAAATTCACAATCAACACTTTCAGAAAAAAATCACTCAGCAAATAACAGCCAATACTTCTTATCGAAACGATACACTTGTCACACTTTGCAAATGGCTGACAGTTGCTGACACTTGTAATATTTTGTAATTTTTCATACCAACCAAAAAAAACTATGCGTTTCACACTGAGGTGAGGTTACGTAGCGAACAAACAATTGTTTGGAAAAAAAGATGCGCGCGCAACAATTTTGTAGCGTCGAAAATGAATCATAAAATTAAATATATTTTATTATTAAAAAACTTTTCATTTATTACAAACCAAATCATAAATAAAAATTATTTTTATCTAAAACTACTTTTGGTTAACTTTTAGTTAATAAATAAATTTTAATTAATTTATTTTAATTTTAATTTTAAAAAAGAGAAAAACGAAAATTTAAAAGTGTGAGGTCACTATCATTATAAAATTCAGCCAATGAGGAACACTCATTATAAAATCAGCCAAAAATCAGCCAATGAGAAAAAAGTTCTACACTTGAAGTTAGCTGCTTTGACATCAGTAAGTAATGTCGTCTCGATTATATCCAATCAAAATAAAGGATTTTGAATTTTATCCAATCAAAATAAAGGAATAAAGGATTTTGAAAAAATAGCCAATCAAGAAAAAGTTCTACACTTGAAGTTAGTCGATCTTACGCACCTCGTTTTTAAGAAAGGATATAATGCTTTTAAAGATATACACTAATAATTAGTGGTCTCTTCTCAAGTCTCGAAAATTGTCTGAAACTCTGGGTCTCAGGCCCTCTCTTTATATACTCAACTAAAAGGGGGGAGGTTTACCATCCCCTCTTTGTTTAACCAATCAGAACGCTGATGACGTGGCACTCGACCAATAAACGTTGAACACTCAAGGTTAAGTTATTACGCATTTTCCAAATGACTGAAATGATGACACGTGTCAAGGTTAAATTATTACGCATTTAACAGATCTCAAGGTCAGAGTATTACGCATTTTACAAGTGACTAAAATGATGACACGTGTCAAGGTTAAATTGTTACGCATTTAACAGATCTCAAGGTCAAATTATTACGCATTTTACAAATGACTCATTATTGTCATATATTTTACTGCGCAGTTTTTAACTGCGCAATAAAATAACCGTCGTACGAAGATTTACAATATAATTTCACAGTTTTTCTTGTCAATAATAAGAAGTACAATTTCAGTATTTCATAATCATAATTTCGTTTGATTTTTAAATTATAAGTAAAATATTTAATGCATACTCCTTAATTAATTAAACACTAATAAACTTAAATTAATATTAATATTATATCTAATTACAGTTTTATATAATTATTTATAATAATAGTTTTACAATATCTTTAAATAATACAATGATTACACGATAGAGAGAGAAAATAAAATTAATTGTCGATATTAAGGTTTTCCTATATTTTAATAATAATAATAATAATAATAATATTATTATTATTATTAATACTGTATAATGTATTATTTATATTTAAATTTGAATCTCTGAAGATTACAATAGAAAAATTTAGTTTATTTATTAAGGATTTAAAATTCCCTGGAAAATTTACTAGGCACTGATGCCAGATGCCACAACGTCATTCACTATCCCAATTTCCGCTTTCGTTTCCGACGTCGTATACTACGTGATATATGACGTCGATACGATGTCGTTTACGGCGTAATGTACAACGTAGTTTACGACGTCGGAATTTTCAACAGGGATAGTAGTAAGTAACAATGTTACAAGGAGAAAATAGTATATTGTGCACCTAGGGAGGAAAATAGTGATTTTCCCGAGGGTGAAGTTTGTATTTCGAGACGTAGCGAGCGTACGAGCCGAAGGCGAGTGCGAGCGAAGTCAAGAACTGCAAACACACGAGGCGAAAATCATTTTCCTTCCGTGGTGCACATACTATTTTTTCTAACACACGTAAACGAAAGTACAAATATGCAATTATTTAACGGAATTTTTTGAAATAAATACTATTAATTTTATAATGTTAATTTATTATTAGATTTTTAGAAACCAATATTCACAATACTGATTATATTGAGATTAGAATGTTTGACAATTAAAAATAATTAATAATATATACATTTAACCACAATTATAATAATTATTATTGTTGTAATATTTATTTAAAATCCATTATTAATTAAAAAATAACAATATGATACATATTTAATCTTAAAAAATATATAGCTCTTTTTATATTTTGCATTTAAAAAAAAAATTACAAATTATTATAGCAGCAGGAAGGAAATATTACTTTCTCTGCCCGTGACATCACAGCGGGGAAGAAAAGTATTACTTTCCCTCCCCGTTATGACGTCACGGGGCGGGAAAGTAACATTCTCTCCCTGCCTCCGGGAAAGACGTACTTTCCACCCTCTTTATAGGTGAGAAATGATGTACTTTCGGTGCGTGTGTTAGAAAAAATATTTTTATATTTATAGGTAGGTACGCGACTTTTAGTATTTCGTAAAAATATCAAAAATAATGATTTTTTTGAATTTTTTTTCGTCTGCGCTTACGAAAAATTTAAATTTTTCTAACCGGGATTTTTTCTATGATTTTTTAGCATTAAATAGAAGCTTTTAAAACCCGAGGCCTTTAAAAAAAAAGAAAAAAAAATTTTTCGGCCCACCCTATTGCTGATGGATCGATAAAAATGAAAGTTGATAATCCCACCGTACCAACAATGATTGGTTGCTTAATGGCTGCGTATTACAGTTGGGATGTAAATTATCCAGTTGCTTTTAGGAATACCCTAGAATTTTTAGATTACAAAATCTTCGGTACCTCAATAGATAAAAAGTTAGTACTCCAAAAATTTGATAGAAAATTAACTAATGTGTTAGATGCAGTTCCAAAATAGACAACAAATTTATATTTTTATTTTCTCAATTGTTTAATTCAAATATTTTCCACATATTGAAAAGAACAGATCTCGTTAGAAAAAACTTTCATTTATTCTTTAATTTAAAAAAATTTTAATTTCAATTAAGTTTTTTCTCTTAAATATGAACAAATAAATCTAAATTCAACTTATATTTCCTTTTATTCAATAACTGAAAAATTTCAAATTTAGTAAGGTTTTTGTGAGTTTTGTTTGTAACATAAAATTTGTACAAACACATGTAAACACAGGTTTAATTTATCATACAAGACTGATTAGTTGTAAATTAACCAATTGTTCAATAGAACAATTAGGTAATAAACTAGAAACAATTATTAAATATAGGGAACAATTTTTTATTTTCATTAATTTAATCGTTTTATACAAATATTTTTCAAATATCGAAGGAAAGAGATTTCATTTGCTTAACTTTTATTTTTTCTTACACCAAAAATTCGAGACAGTTTAATTTCATTAAGTTAAAAGTAGGAAAATTTTATAGAAAATTAAATAATGTGTTAGATGCAGTTCCAAAATAGACAACAAATTTATATTTTTATTTTCTCAATTGTTTAATTCAAATATTTTCCACATATTGAAAAGAACAGATCTCGTTAGAAAAAACTTTCATTTATTCTTTAATTTAAAAAAATTTTAATTTCAATTAAGTTTTTTCTCTTAAATATGAACAAATAAATCTAAATTCAACTTATATTTCCTTTTATTCAATAACTGAAAAATTTCAAATTTAGTGAGGTTTTTGTGAGTTTTGTTTGTAACATAAAATTTGTACAAACACATGTAAACACAGGTTTAGTTTATCATACAAGACTGATTAGTTGTAAATTAAACAATTGTTATACTATAAATATATATGTATATGAAAAAAATTTTGTATTATAAAATTTGAGTGTGCAATAAAATGAAACTGCTCAAAATTTATCCATAAAATTCTGTTCGCTCATTATCCAGTAAAAGGACATATAAATTTTGCCGAAATTTTAATGCAGGAAGAGGATGTGGAAACATCAGATTTTCAATTGAAATTGAAAACTGTGAGTAATCACTAGATTCTTTAAGGTGATAAGCATTGAACATTTCCTCGTAGAGCAAAGTTTCTAAAATATTGTAAATAATGATGACATTTTCATCCACAACAAACATTTCAATTATTTTTCCAAAAACAGGTAGACATTCATCTGAGTTCTCCAAAAGAATCAAATCATTCGGTTTATAAACTGTCCCACGAATTTCTACTTTCTTTGACCTCATAATTTCACAATTTTCTCTATTATTTTCCAATACGAAATTGTATAATAAATTTGCATTTGGCAAGTTTTCCAGTAAAACTGTTGTACCTGGCGATATTTCTTGTCCCTGGTTGATAAATTTTTTAGAATCGATGTTTGAAAGACTGGCAAGCCTCGAGCATAGACGAGCTTGATACCGATATGCCAATGTGAAAGGCATGTTTTTAAAATTTCGCATAACAGGAACTAAAGCTTTCGATAAATTGTGCGTTGTTTCAAATCTAAAACACCATTGCCGACGTGCTGGCCCGAATAATTTTATATAAAATGGAATGTGAATTAGAAAGTGAAATTTGGGCACAATTGTATTTGGATACAAATTATTGAATTCCGTTATATAAATTTTGATCATTCGAGACAACAAATCAACTGTGTCTATGTGGATTTCATAGGACAAGCAGATATTTAAAATTTGTAGAAGTCGACTGTGATTTAAAATTCGACTTTTGATTTCCTCTCTGTTGTCATAATGGGTCCACTCGGCAATCAATAATGGTAGACAATGAGCAAGGGCAAACATTTGTGACGCACTTTGTTTCAAAGGTTTATTATCTTTTAGCGGATCATAAAAAATACAACTGGGTTTATTGTCTCCGAAATGACTAAAATCAAAAGTTTCCATCTTCGAATTTATTTCGCTCATAGAAAAAATCTCCAAATCAAGAATTAAATAAGAAAGAACGGCTCTTACTGCTATTTCTGATATTCCTATGATTAAAACGTGCATTGCATCTTGAGGAAAACATTTTGTTACATCCAGATGTTGTATACCGTCCAAAGGACTTGGACCATTTACACCATATCTGGATTTCCAAAAATGCAATACTCTTGAAGTAACATTTTGCTCAGTCACAGCTTCAACATGATTTATATGTGTGGTTGCATTTCGAAGAATAAAATCTGTTTCATTGAAATTCGATTTCCAATCAGAATTGTTTGTGAAACAAGTGCGACAAAGACGATAAGCGGATACGGATTGTTTAAACCCTCCCATTTCTGCAGAAGCCGGCGTATCTCCTGCTGCAAATAGCAAAGATCCTTTAAATGTTTTTTCTTCGTTATTACAAAGAATCGTAATTCCCTCGTTCTGTAAAATTCCAATATCTTTCACAAACGGTTCCAAAATTGCCCTCAATCCATGTTTTTTAACAATACTTGTTTTCACTATTCCTAAAAGTTGAATAGCATCTTGTGTTGATCTAAATTCTGGAGGTATATTTCCGAGAGTCCAATACAACATATACAACATTTGTTTTGTAGTATTTGAACCGAGAGGATTTGCTATTCCCAACTCATCTATATACAAAATGGTAGCAAGAGAATTTCGATTATTTTTAAAATAATCATCATTTTTGTAAAAGGACCCTTCCAATACCGTTGTAACTAATCCATTTTCTTCATTTCTCGGATTCTCAATATAAAATCGAATTTGTTCATTTTTTAAAAAGTTCGTTAAATTTTGCAGGAATGGGACAATGATGGCTGTGTCTTCAACATCCACAAGATCCGTAAACGGCGGAATTTTCGTTCGAATCCAACGTTGTGAAATTCCTACTTTTATTTTCTCAGGAAACACCATATTAAATTTTTCTTTCAGAAATTTGTCCAATAAATATTTTGAACTGACAGGAGACAGCACATCACTTGGTTTCAATTGCTGAAATATTTGATGAAGTAACTGCAAACTAATTAAACCTGTGTTTCTGTCCAAATGTTGTGTAATTTCACCCTGTAAAAAATAAAGTTGCTTGTATGAAGTTCTGCATCTCGTTTTAATTACCAAATTTATGATTATGTATATACATTTATCTTACTATTTTTTCCCTTTTTATGTTTCTTCATTTACAGGGTTGACACAAAAATTTAATTTTGGTTTTTCCTATCTACATGCAAACAAACTTTTAAATTTTTCCCGACCATAAAAAATATTCTGATTCACTCTAAAAATTATGAAGATACTCAAAAAAAATGTTTTATTCTTTTTATATTTACGAATTTGTTTAATTGTAAAATTATACGAAAACATCAGAACTTTTATTTAAAATAATAATTATTTTTCCATAGCAATTAAGATTTTCAAAAAACTCAAATTCAAACCTTTTTGAAATTTAATAACTTATAAGAATATTATTAGAAAACATAACTATGACTGACAAAATCATTATATTATATTATAAGAATATTGTTACTTGCTCAAAATTATTTTTATCATTTCAATTCGATTACTATTTTCTAGAATTATTAATTTAAATTCTTCTTTAAATCAATCTTTTTAATAATTTTTGAAAAAGTTCTTCGAGATTTTCAAATTTTAATTAAACTTTTGAAAAAATTAATTGTACTAAATTGTTAGTTAAAATTATAAAAAATTCAGATTTTTTTAAAGATTTCGAATTTGATTTTGAATTTGAATTTCTGCGAAGAATTTTATAAATTTTGAAAATAATTAAATTTCTACAATCAATAAAAATTGAAATTTTATAAAATTTCAAATTCAAACCTTTTTCAAGTTGATTTAATTTTTTTTTTTTTTTTTTTTGCTTAGGGACTTTTGGGAAATCTGCCTACAGATACCTTGGATTCCGCACTCCAAGGTTATGTGGGGTTGGTACAATGAAACAAAAGGAAATATTAAAAAAAAGATAAATACATAAATGTTATAATAAATTTAATAAACTGGCGACCTACTACCAGCCCGACCCACTAAAACCCGTAACCCTTCTTCTGGAGCCCTTTACCCTCCCTCGGAACTGTCGTAAGACTTTAGCCTTCGAGGGTGGCGCTCCAACTCTGTCACTAATGCGACCTTCTCCCTTTCTCTGCGGTCCTCCTGCGTCCGTAGTTAAAAAAATGATTAAAACTATTACAAAGTCCAAGCGGAATTCACAGCACAAAAATAATAAAAAAAACAAATATTTTAAGAAGTGTAAAAAGTCAAAAGATAAAATTGTAAACGGATATAAAAAAGAAAAGAAAAAAAAAGTAAACACGTATATAATGTTGAAAAGATAAAACTGTTTAAAGACGAATAAAAAACACAAAACAAATTAAACAAAAAAAATGTATAAGGACAAATAAATCACAAAATAAATTAATAAAAAACAAACAAACAAATTAAAAGCTGTTTAAATCACGCTTTTTGGCTCCTTTTAATACTTCTTATTTGCTTTTAGTTCTTGCGAGAGTCTTCTTCGCCTCCTCAAGGGCCGTCCTGAAGACTCCGCATCCTCCGCTGCCTGCAATATGGGTGGTTGACACCTTATTGCCAATCTTTTCCTTGCACAAAAAGCAACTTGAGTTGTTTTTACAGTTGGAGAACCTGTGACCGGCCTCACCGCACTTAAAGCACGCAGCCGATCTGTCCTCCTTCTGGCATTTGGCTCCAATATGGCCGTATCCCAGGCATCGATGACACCGGACGACCATTACTCTTCTTTTGATTGGGCAACACATAAAATCAATTTTTACGTGTCCCAATTTCTCCAGCCTGTTCGCCTCTTCCAGGTTGGTGACTACAACCGCGAGCTTCATCCCTCGGCGGTTGGGTCCTAAGACCGTCACTCTCCTGTTTACTGGCTTACCCATTGCTTCAGACAACACTTGTTGCACCTCAGCTTCTTGGGTAAGGCAATCCAAATCACGGATCTCGAGTGTAACTCTTCGATCCAATGACTGCACCTTACCCATGCTTCCAACCGCCTTGGTGACCTCAGCGGTGAAAGCGTCCTTATCGGAGTCTCCTCTGAACTTAATCAGAAGGTCCCCCTTGTTTGTAGCTTTTGCTGCTACTATTCTCGTATGGCTGTCCTCTGGGTTGACCTCTTTGCGAAGCTTACCCAGAACGTCAGCATACGTCAATCCTTCACCGACTCGGATTAGAACTGTGGATCTTTTTGACCCAATTCTTTCCAATTGAGGAATCTTTGGATCTGGTACTTCCGTTTCCATTGGAGGAGCTTCCTCCTTCTTCCTCTTATCGGTTTTGGTTCGAGTCTCTTCTGGACTGTCACCCTCTCTCTTCCGTTTCTGAGCATCTCTTAAGACGCTTTTGAGATTACGCCTATAGAAACGCTCTCTCTCTTTCTTACGGTCCTTGCGGTTGCATTCCGCACCGCTCAGAACGCATGCCAAATCGAAGTCCGACTCATCGGCCGCGGCATGCTTTGCCCTTGCCTCCTTTAGCAGGACGTCGATGACCTTGAGTCCATCCTTTACCGTCCTATTGACGGTCTTCTGAATGTCGCAAGATTTTATCATCTTTGCGACCTCCAACTCCATTTTTTCGAGACAAGTCGCCTCCTCCTTTCTGAGCCGCAAGCATATCTCGCGAGTCTCTTCTATCGCCTCGTCGTCTACTTCTGAGTGGATAGCGCTATGAACGGTTTTTTCCGCTACTGCAGCTTGACACACTCAGAAGGCTCGACGTGCTTCCTTTCCTCGTTTTTTTATTTTCCACGATGTTCTGTGGATCTACCCTTTCCACGATCACTCGTGGCACTGCAAGAAATTGTGCGCCCCCACAATCCGCGCGCACTTGAGCATCGGTCCTGGGACCGATGGTGAGATTTCCCGTTTCCGGCCTGCTCACATGGGGTACCTTCTCAGAATTTTTTGAATTCATTTTTTCTTGCTGTTTGGTTGTCCTTTAGTTGAAAGCCCCGCCACCACGACAAGGTCTACCGAACATATCCATGATGTCAATCATGTCTGGCAGTGGATATGCATCCACTTCTCCCAGCACATCGAAGACATCGATGATGTTCGGCAGTGGACAACCAGCGGCGGAGAAGTTGATTTAATTTATGAACATTGTAAAAACGCAACTCTTTATTTTAAATTCAATTAATAGTTTATGAGACAAAGAAAAAATCTTACTAAAATTTAGAATGTTCACATTATAAAATTTAAATTTTTTGCATTACTTTTAATAAAATTTCCTAACTTTTTCATAATCTCTCTGACCTGTCTCAACCCTAATTTTTTAAAAGTTTTTTTTTTCCATTTTGGCCCATTTCCATTCATAACCAAAATAATATATTTAATATTTAATTTATTTATTTAATATACATTAATATTATATTATTATAAACATAATATAATATTATAATATTATATTAACACAAGAGTTAATGTATAATAAATTCTTACCTAAAGTGTACCAGAAAAATATTCCAAAAAATCCTCAACGCCGGAAATTATTTCTGTGAGTGCCATCGAAGATGTACGATACGTTTCACGAATGTTTACCATAAATTGAGCGAATCGTAACTGCATTTCCTCAACATTTGTTACAACTTGATTTCCTTAAAAAATCGAATTTTATTTTCTTCTTATAAATAAACAATATGAATAAACTCATACGTAATTTACATTAATTTTTGAAAGATTCGAAACAATATATATAATAAAGATAGTGATAATACTTATAATATTTATAAACTGAAATATGTTTTATTTACCCGGATTCTCTTCTTCATCATCCTCATCTTCATTATTATACTCTTGTTCATTGAATTCATTTAACAAGTTGACACGAAAAGGATGATTTCTTGCAACATGCGTTTTAAATGATCTCCACTTTGTAAAAGTGGCACCGCAGCCACGAAATAGACATTTAACTTTAAAATTGGGTTCGTTTTTGTGGTATTTAATAACATGTTTAAGTAATAATTCAAAGGAATTTGACCAAAAATCACAAATCGAACAGAAACTTTGATTCTTCATTTTCACAAAATAACCATCACATTTTTTGGTTATGTATCAAACAGTATGTCAACAACCTCTACACGACAGTAGTCAATGACCTCCCCAAACGCAACTGCACTTGCTCCAAAAAGTAATCTTTGTTACGAGCACATATGAGTTTTATGCGCAAACTCAGCGTGCTCAATTGTGATTCATTGAGTTCATACTTTGGCTGAATCCTTAAGAGGAACCGGGAATTACAAATGATAAAACAATAATATTCCATTAAAACGGAGGGAAAAACCTCTCAAGCAGAATGGATCAATCAATAATTAATAATATTAATTATTGATGGAAATCAGTCCTCTTGAGAGTAAACCCAAATAATTTATTTAATAAAAAGTTCAAGAGTACAAAATGACTAAGGAAACGAACGAAGCAACCTTGTCAGTCAACCGTCAACTTAGATCTAACTTCTAGTCTTGTAGTTATAGTCTAGCAGAGTTGTTATCAGCTGTTAGTCCATGTTGAGGGAAGTGCGCATGTTCCAAGTGACGCGCATCCCCCACTTTACTATACACTTTTATGCACTTCACTAATACAAATACAGTCTCATACGTCATACTTATTGGTGTAGATACAGACACATTCGTCATAATAATATTATTCGTTATCATTATCATACTATAACTCTTTCAATAATTTAATTTATATACAAATAATAAACTAGTAAATATATTTCTATAATAAGCATATTTACTCTTATATACAACACACACACATACGTTTACAATTATAGTAAATATTGTATAACATAATACAGCGCTGATAGTCATGATAGTTATAACAAACTAATTGTTAAACTATAAATCTTGAAAGTATTTTATTTACAAA